CCCGTTCAAGTGTGAAACTACTTAAAAATAATTGTCTTAACTTATAATGAGGTCTCACTCAGTGAGATACACCAACATTCAACACAATTGGAGTTGTTGGGATATCCCTGGCTTCAAACAAAGGAGAAGAAACAAGAGAACATTTGGTAAAAAGCTCTTAAAAGTGCTGTGTGGAAGCTACGGCTGTTCAGTTGAGTTGCTAGAGCTACTCTGCATTTTATGAACATGTGTATGCCTCTCCAAAACAAGCCATAATAGCACACTAAAAATTAGACAAGTCACAGCCCTATCACATATTTTATAATAGTTTTTAATCTGCATTTTATGTAGGATTGGAGAGAGCAATCTGCCGCTTCTGGGACAGAACTGCAGCGTGACCAGCAAGAACTGAGGCTGAGCAGGTGCTGCACAAGCCTGTGGGACTGCATCTGTGAGCAATAAAGCAAATGAAACCACCAACATCAGCAGTGCTTTAAAAAAAAAAAATAATAATAATAAAGCTCTCGGGCTTTAATGAAAGTTATGTTTTTAATCAGAAATCCTAAAACAAGCTTAAGGCAAATAGCGATATCAGCCTAAAACCTTAAACCCATCTCAACATTCTCTGTAAGATTTCACAGTGATTCAGACAAAAAAATAGCATGAATCATAACAGATCACATGCCAGAGCAATCAGACCCACCTGGCCCATGTCACTGGAAACAAGATACAAGTGGTACATCCCTCCAGAGCGTCCTCAGCCTCCACTTACTTGTGGCTCACCCATTCCTGGAGCCAAAGGGTAAACCTTTACGCAAGAATTTACAAGGACTTGCACCCCATGAACCCATGCATGACTATAACTTCCAGCAGGTGTTGCACTTTGTTGTACACTGCACTGGAAACATGGACTTGAGTGGTGCCACAGCAGCTCCTACGATTTGCTGGCTTTCAACATCCTGTACAAGGAAATTGGTTTTAACAGAACCCCTTCAGATCCCCAAAAACCTCCTCTCTTCAGAGTAATCCAGCTCACAGCCAATAACACAGTAGAGTTCCTTAACGTAATACATTCATTCACACGATCAATTTTACCCACTATGAGCCAACTGAATCCAGAATTCCTCCTGCAGGCCTTCTTATTTCTGCCTTGAATAGCTTACAACAACTGAACTCACCTTGCTACTCTTTTTTTTTTTTTTTCTATTTAATGAAACTGTAAGCAATTAAGAAAAAGTTCCAGCACAAAACACAAGAAAAAGTTACTCAGAACATTTATTTATCCACACAGGAACACTAAGAAATCCCGTGTGAATAAACAACCAGCATCACTCCAAGTAAGCCCAGCTTATGAGCCTTTCAGGATGGCATTCAATTCCTTTTGAAAATTAAACCAGGAATTTGTATTTGGGATACAGACTTCTCCAGACCCAACTTGCTCAAGTCGCTAACAAGTGAGAAGCATGGCCTTACCTTACAAAAGCTTTACTGACTCTTATCAGTAGTCTGTGATATACCCTTGGCAGTTCTATCATCTCAGAAGCCTGCAGTTTGACCAGGAACCCTTGTCACCTCTTGTGAAAGTTAATATCAAGGAAACAGCCTGCATTTTTCCTATGCTGCCCTCCACAACAGTACAAGCAACAGTTGCATTGCAATTCAGTCCAATGAGCTACACCAGGAGCCTGGTCTGGTGGTTGGTGACTCTGTACATGGCAGAGGGGGGGTTGAAACTAGATGATCATCGTAGTCCTTTTCAACCCAGGCCTTTCTATGATTCGATGAACTTTGCTGGCAGCTCTGTTCTCCTCTCTTTGAGCGAGAGGATCTTTAAGAGACACTTTCATCATCCCCTGCTCCAGTGGTGGATTACAATGGCTATCTTATGTTATTCATCCGGTTTAGGAGGCATTAATTAGCATACTATCATAGCTTCCTAATTACCAAGTTTAATGGTTCGTGGTAAATCCCCATCATTACTAGGAAATGAACCAGTTGCATGCCCATAATCCATTATTATCTCACATACTATAGTTCTAGCATTTAATGAATAATAATTAATCTAACTCCTAACAAATACATGCATATTTATCTTTTATCATACTTAGGAGAAGTAGCCTAAGACAGCCATAAAATCCAGAGAGCAAAAGATAATACAGAGTTGAGCAATTCCTCAGGCAAAGGCACTTCAGATAGAATCTGAGTTTTCTTCCCCCAAAAAGAGGCATGCCTGCATGAATTAAGCAGTAACAAGGCACTGCTACAAAGTGATACACCTGCTTTTGTGTTCCCTTGCTCCAGATCAAACAAGTAGGTGGCTAAACAGTTCTTAGAAAGAGTAATGCCTTGTCAGAAGGGGGACTAGTATGTAGGCCTTTCTAAGGGAAACATTAACAAGGTAGCACTTCAATTAAATTTTGCTTGTTGCAATTAAAGCAACAATCCTTATTTCATGCAACATTATGGTCAATTCACACATTCAAATGCATGGCAGTATCCACAGACACTGCCTGCTGTTTCTCTCATACCTCATGCTTCATACTAGCTGATAACAAGGCAGACACCAATAGCTATTACGCGACACTTCCCAGTTCTTAGAAACAGGACCAGTTCAGCAAGTAAGCCCTGAAGATACAACAATCCCACAGCCTTCCTCTAAAACACCTACAAGGACCATGGCCACACCCAGGTAGAGCTGATTTGATCCCATAAAGCCAAAACTCAAACCTCATTTTAAGAGGCACAGTTTATTGTCTGGGCTCTCAATCTGAGAGGATCAAACTTGCTTAAACTAAAACACACTTTGAAGGTAAATGACACTTCGTTTTAAATATGTGAAATAAAAACCGCCTACGTTTACCGTAAGCAAGCTTCAAATGCGCATTACTGAACTCCAATGTTAACAGAAAGCATTTTTAAGTTACCACACTTGCATGTTTATTTTAGATTGCATCTGCCCCACTTAAAGTGTCACAGGAGCTGAAGACTGATTTTATGCTGCAAGAGACACACCAGAGTTCCTGCGTTAATTCTTCCTTATGGATGCCTCCCTCCCTTCCCATAAAAGGGAGAGCCAGGAAGCCTTCGAACGCTTCCTCCACGCCTTCTGCGAGACTGAGAAGCACAGCACAGAGGAGCCTCAAGTCGCCCAGCCCCTCCCTCCCAGGCAATGTCTCACCTCTAAGTGGAGGAAGAGCACTGTCCAAGAGTGAAAGCAAGGCTTAAGTGACCGAACAGCCCTGGAAGTCAGGACAGAAATGAGCTATGGCACTACATCTTACAGCAGTTACGGAGAAATGAGGTCTGTTACCTACATGCTAACATTTTACCTATGTTGCAATTGCTGTTGGTTATGCAATCACATCACACCTGGTTTTGAGCGAGCTTGCTCAAGCACTGCTAAGCATGCAGCATAGACTCCTAAACTAATTATCAGGTTCTCCAGATAAGTTTCTCATTTCACAACTGTTAATTCTCTGTCAAACGTTTATAAAGTCACTTAATACACAAGTAGTTACCTTTTGCTCTGTTCCAAGTGGTTAAATCAATCTCTGTATGCTTGTGCGACCTTATTATACAGCCTTCCGTACAAATGATTTCATTCATTTTCATTTCTAAAATGCCCACGGCAGCACCAGCAATTTCAAGATTTCTAGCAGTGCTGAAAGCTCCCTCCATTATAGAAGAGCAATCTGTAGCGTCACTATACTGAAATACTGTTCAGTGCCAACAAAAGGGTCAGCTTAGACTATCAAGGTTTTACTCTTCCAGGAAAAGGAACCCTTGAAAAAGTTAAAGCTACCTATAAAGAAGAGTGAGAAACTGAACTTCAAGAAGTATTAATATGTAAATCGACAAACTAACATCATAAAGCTCAGTGGTTTCCCTGCCTAAGAACTTGTTTAGTTCATTATTTAGTAGATTGAGAGTTTTTCTGAAGTCCAATTTTTAAGAAATTCAGAAGTGATCGCTACTGTGAGCTTGTTTGCTACTAGTAAGAATAATCACTTAACTGTTCTAATATTAGTGACTTATTTTTAGCAGCGAGGAGTGCTAGAATGACTTACTAAGATGCATACCATAGGCATGCAGTAAGCAACAAATCACCCTTAAGCACCATTAAGTCTCACAAAAAAAAAAAAAAAAAAAAAAAAAAAAAAAACCTACGAACTACCTAAAACAAGCAAAAGAAAACACTCAGAAACTCTTGCTGAAACGCACCAGTCACAGAGCATGGAGGCTTACACACTGTGTTTGCTCTGAGATGAGCTTCCTGAGGCTGAACCACACAAAATCACTGCATTTAACCCAACAAGCTCGGTTAAAACCAAAGAAACTCGCACTGCCAGCTGTGCTCTGCCTGCAGAAGGCCGAACGGCACCGGGAGCCTTAACTTCTCTGAGGCCGCAGCTCCCCTGCTGTCACACCGAAGAGCTCCTGAGGAACGGATTTTACCCAGGGAGAGGAGCGATCCTCCAGAAGCTTTAACAGCGTAGAAAACGAAGCTGTTCGAACGGAAGTTAAACGACTTGTTTCTTTAAAACCACCACGAAGTCTCAAAGGGACGCGGATAGCAATTCAGACAGAGCTCTGCAGCTCGGCACGTGGAAACCTACGGCATTTCGGAGCCAGGATGCTTTTCCTCGCCGTCTCCCGGCGGCACCGACCCGGGGCTGACAGCTCTCCGCCTCCGCCGCCCCCCGCTCCAGGGCCGCTGCCGCCCGCTTGCGGCGGGAGGAGAGGGGAGAGACGGAGCGGCGGCCCGAGAGCGGCCCGGAGTTACCGCCGCGGGCGGAGAGCCGCGAAGCCGGGGAGCGGCGGCGACGACTGCGCGTCCCTCCCCGCCTCTCGCCCGCCCTCCCCTCCCGGCCGCCGCACGGCCTGTTCGGCGGCCGCAGACAAAGGGAGGAAGCGGGGACGAGCCGGGACAAGGAGGCGGCGGCGACCCCGACAGCCGCATCCTTCCCCGCTGAGCAGGAGCCGGCGGCGCGCGGCGGGAGGAGGACGGGCCGGGGGCTCACCAGGATCCGCTTGAAAAGGTTGCTCTCCTTGGGCGGCAGCGGCACGGACGGCATGATGCGGGCGGGCGGCCGCGGGGCAACGCGGCTCGAGGTTGCGAGGAGCGGCTGTCGCTGCAAGAAAGGGAAAGGAGGCGGGGGAAAGGAAAAGGCGATCCCCAACTCGGCTCACGGGCGAGCGGCGGCGACTCTTCAACTCATTGGCCTGCACCGCCCGCCCCGCCGGCTCCCCTCGGGCGCAGCGCGCGAGCGCGGCTCCTCTGCGCAGCTGCCGGGGAGGCCTCGCCGCCCGACTGACGCTGCAAAATGGCGGCCGGGGTCCCCCGCCGCGCATGCGCACCGCAGCCTGGCGCGGGGTGGGGGGGGGGCGGGTGGCGCCGGGTGTTTGCTTCCCGCCCGCTCCTTGTTGTGTGGAGGGGTTGGTTGGGTCGGGGTTTGCTTTTTTCGTTTTGAGGGCAGTGCTTGGTAGTTTTTTGCTAGCTTCGACCGCACACTGAGGCGAGGGGTCCTCGAAAGCGCCCCGAGTGGGGGAGGAGGAGGAGGATGGGGAGGAAGGGGAGGATGGGGAGGAAGGGGACTGCCGCCCTCAGAAGGTGTAAAAATAACTCCGGCTCGCTGAAGCCCTGAGTCATGGCTATTTCAAAGCCTTCGAAACTGGATGCTTTTTTTTTTTGTCCTTTCAGCGCTCGGCCTCGCCCGGCCGTGCTGAGATAAGGCAGAAAATCTCTTTGTCCCCTGCAGCCTCCCCCTCTCCTCCGGCCCTCATTGCCCGCTGTTGGTGCCCGCTGTCAAGCTGGGCTCTGGGTGAGCCGCCAGCCCGGCCTTTGGGATGTCATCTATGGCATCAGCTCTTTGTTCAGTTGCTTACACAAAGCTTCCCAGCATTACCGTGCGTGCTTAGAGCAGTGTTTTGTCGTGGCTTGGCTCCTCCGACAAGGGAGGCTTAAGGTCTTTTGCAAAATGATTTTTTCCTTGTCATTTGCAGAAATAGCTTTTAAATGGATCTTTGCAAAGCTAAAGAACAAGCCAGCAGCACTGAAACCACACAGCATGGGGTGCTTCCTTGGGAGGGAAACTGGTTAAGCCATCAGAGTTGCAATCAATTAAAAAGATCGTGCTGGGGAAGGAATGGTGGGGCGGAAATTAAGCAGCTTCAATTAGAGTCCCTGTTAACCACTTTTTAAATACATTAGTTGTGTTTTAAAATAATATTATTCCTATAATAACATGGTTATCACCTACTTACTTTTATAAGGGCGTATAGCAACAGGAGATGAGGGGAAATGGTTTTAAATTGACCGAGGGCAGATTTAGACTAGATATTAGGAAGAAATTCTTTGCTGTGAGGGTGGTGAGACACTGGAACAGGTTGTCCAGAGAGGCTGTGGATGCCCCCTCCCTGGAAGCGTTTAAGGCCAGTCTGGATGGGGCTTTGAACAACCTGGTCTGGAGGGAGGTGTCCCTGCCTACAGCAGGGAGTTGGAACCAGATGATCTTAAAAGTTCCTTCCAAATCATTCTGAGATTTCTGCTGCTCAGGTGATGAGCTTAGTGGATGTGCATAGCAAAGCAAGCATGTGGAGATAACAATTAGGAAGGCTGTGCACTTAACAGGCTGTATTTGGTTACACAAAGCAAGCAGTGGTATGGCTGAGGCAGCAAATCCCAAGCAGCGTGTCCTTTGACTTCTCAGAAGCCTTGCTAAACTCCATGGACATTGGTCCTTCCTTTCGTGTTGGAGGGACGGAAAGTGGGCATGGTTTTGGAATAGTAAACTGTAAGGCTAAGCCTAATTCAGGGTCTCAGAGTCTGAATTTTTTTTATGAGCAGGTGTACTGTTGACAAGGACAGCTCTGCTGCATCATTTTCAAGGTCTGCACCACAGCACTGAATTAGCACTGATTGTAACTAGTTGGAGCCATGGCTTCATGAACTCAGATTTTCTGTCCTTGCAGTAGGCTTTATGCCTTTGGTTGGTTTCTGTGGTAAACACCTCCAAGATGGTCAGGTGAATACTGTGCTCAGTGAACTTTTGGTCTGAGACAGTAAGGCTGTTCTTTATACCGAAGTGTCAGTTCCCTGCTAGTCCAAATACTGGAACAAACGCCATCTGAAAACAGGCAAAACTGCAAATGAGAGGCAGGCATTTGATCTGCATTTCAACATGTGTCTGTATTACAAATCCGTGTTGAAAGCAGCAAGAAAAGGAGAGCAAGCTGGCAGTAAAGAAACAATTTTAGACTAGCTGAGAGAGACTAAAGATAGAAATGAGCATTGGGGGGGCAGAGGGCTGGTTGAAAGTGAGGTTTGGAAGTACAATCAGGAAAACTTCTTGTCATTTAATCCCACTGCGCTTGGCCAAACAAAGCGCTTTCTACAGGCTTTGTTAATAAACAGGGCTGTATTCAAGGCATGTGTGATTCTGTCACCAGTTTTCCCTACAAACAGAAAGAATTCAGAAGTCTGTCAACAGATTATTTAGGTCAAAAGCGGGAAGAAACATCCAAGCACAACTCTTATGAGGAGCGATTGAGGGAACTAAGATTGTTTGGTCTGGAGAAGAGGAGGCTCAGGAGAGACCTTATCGCTCTCTATAAATACCTGAAGGGAGGTTGTGGGGGGGTGGGGGTCAGCCTGTTCTGTGTAACTAGCAATAGGGCTAGAGGGAATGGCCTCAAGTCGTGCCAGGGGAGATTCATATTGGATATTAAGGGAAATTTCTTCTCTGAAAGAATGGTTAGGTACTCGAATGGGCTGCCCGGGGAGGTGGTTGAGTCATCGTCCCTGACATCTAATCTAAATCTCCCCTCTTTTAGTACAGCCCCCCGCAACCCCCCTTGTCCTTTTACTATCCGACCATGTGACTGTGTGAAAAGTTGGTCCCTCTCCTGCTTATAAGCTCCCCTCAAGTACTGGAAGGCCTCAATGAGGTCTCCCCAGAGCCTTCTCTTCTCCAAGCTAAACAAGCCTGGCTCCCTCAGCCTGTTTTCATAGGAGAGGTGCTCCAGCCCTCTGATCATCTTCATGGCCCTTCTCTGGACTTACTCCAACAGTTCCTCATCCTTCTTCTGCTGGGGGCCCCAGGCCTGAATGCAGTACTCCAGATGGGGCCTCACAAGGGCAGAGCAGATATGGACAATCCCCCCCCTCCCCTTGTCCTGCTGTCCATCCTTTTGAAATCAAGTTGGCAGCTTAAAGTTGCCAGATTTGAATTTAAAAGCACATCCCAAGTGCCATGTCCTGTTCTCTGGAGCCTGGGAACCTGCTGCTGTCACTTCCCCACTCTGCCTGCTGGCCGAGGGCAGCAGCACCCTGCCCTGAGCACCACCTGCAAGCCGCAGGCCTCCGTAGGCCAAAGTGAACCATAAGGGAGGTGGAAGCACAGACAGAAATGGAATTTCCCATCTTTTATACTCAATTCCCTTATTCCATTTCAAACATCATCCTGGAAATGGAAGGAAAGAGTGTTTCTATTCGCTGGTATTATGAGATATGAGGAATATGTCCCCTGAGTCCAGCCTGTGTCCAGTCTGCTGGCTGCTGGGCAGTGCTGAGAATCTGTTAGCCTGTACTGTCATGCATAGAGTTAAGATAAAGAACTGCCAACAAGGATAGTGAAAACTGAATCACGATTGCTTTTAATCAGAGGGTTTAATGTAATAGCTGTTTCTGGCTGCACTAGGAACTGATGTGATTTTTCTTGGCCTACCCTCTTCTTTTTCATTCTGTTTTGTAATTTTGAGTGCATGGCCTGCCTTTAGTTTTCATGTTCTTATTAGCTTTTTGGTTGATTGCCCATAGATCATCTTTTCAAGATTTTTAAGTGTCAGATTGAAGGCTCCTGGAAGACTGCAGGGAGCTGTTTGCTGTGGCCTCTTTGTAAGTTGGATGGGCTCTGGGATGGCTCCTGGTTTCTGAAGCTGTTTTATAGTCTCTTCCCTTTGCCTCCTGTCCTCCTGAGGGGCTGAGCAGAGCCAGGAGCAGCCCTGAGAGTGAAACAAGAGGCTGGTTATCGTTTGTATGCTGGTGAGGTTTGGTACAAATCTTCCCATCGTTTCATTTTCAGCCTTTTAGGTGTATTTACCTCGCCAAAACTTGTTGATGTTATATGTGCCAAATACAGTGTTTTATATATATATATATTTAATCCTCTTGAATGACAGCAGCTAAGAAGAAAGAAACCTAAAACCCAGTGTTCTCTAAGGCATTTACAGTGAAGTTGGATTTGCTAAAACATAAAAAAGATAGGGAAAGTTCTTGTAAAAGAAGCAAACTTTGGAAGAGAGAAGGACTTCTTAGTGCAAGCTGTGCACCTAGGGAGAACATAAGACAGTTCCAGGGAGTTTTTCATCTGAGGTTTGAATACATTTTCCTTCTATGACATGCATAGGAGTAAATTGGCCTTTAGGGTGATTATAGGTATAAAAAACATTGTTACGTAAAGTCTTTTTAGAACGTGAATATAATGAGGGGTATAGATAATATCAAACAGATTATACAACTGCCTGTTAGCTGAATGATGAGAACGGTTGTGTTGAGTAGCATTTTGTGAGTGGTGTTTGCCTTGTGTAGTGTAGTCCTAATTCATATGGAGTATAATTACAGCCAGCCCTGACATGAAGTGGAACTTTGATTTGAGTAAAGTTTACGTAAAACAACAATCTCTGCATAACCGGATTTGAAACTCGGGGTATTTTCAGCCCATGTTTTGGGAACATACACAGGAAAGTCCACTTATGTCACAGCACAGAACTTGGAAGCAGGACTATTCCCACTTGTTGGTGCGCTTGTCATTTTAGACAAAGCGTGTGCAGCTGTGCAGCTGTGAAGAAAATATTGAGAATGTGGATCGAGATTTACTTGTAAGATCTTTTAAAAATGATTTCGGAGCCAGCATTTCACAATTTATTTGTAAAGCTGTTAAAGCCGTGCTTGCAAATCTGCGATCGCTGCCCCCAGGGTGATCGCATCCGCGGGCTGGAGGAGAGCAATGTGCTGGATGGACAGACGGAGGGACGGCCGGAGACAGGCGGCTGCTGCGGCACGCCGAGAGTCGTGTCTGTGAGCAGGCATGCTGGGAGTGCGAGTCTTTCCACTTCACTTCCTGTCTGCAATGGCCTCGTGATGTAAGGCAGGACCTGTCTGGCGCTTCCATTTGGGAAGGGTGAGTCTGTAGGCTCTGTGTGCGACACGGAGCCCGCTCTCTGCCCGCTCTGGGTTGCAGGGGCTGAGCCCAGCCAAGCCAAGGCAATTACTGGCGGCTGCCTGCCGGCCTCTGGCTCACAGGGCTGCCTTCCTGCTCTCCCAGTGAGCCCTGCGCTGGGGAGGGCTGCACGGGGTTCTGTGCCTGCCTTTTGCAGGAGGGCTGCTTGGTGTAGCTGAGGTGGGATGCAGAGGGCTGTGAAAAGGGGGCTGAGGGCCCATGAAGCCTTGAAGGCACCTCTCTGTGGCTGCATCACTGAAACCCTTCCCTTATGCATAGGTATTCTTATGCATCTCAGCGGAATCGGTTTCACTGAGTTAATAGTATCCTTGATCATTAGAAGTGATTTTTAAAGGCTTTTAAATGAGTTACAGCGTTGATAGTTGTCCCTTAACTAGAAATGAGCTGATCTATTTATTTTTGTAATGAGACAATCGCAGCTGTCGTTGTTACAGACCCGTTTTGATTTGTGATGTGTTTATGTTGCCCACTGGGTAATTTTGTCATGTTCAGAAAGTCGCTAAGAACTAGTTTGAGAAGCAGTTAATAGGCAGTCTGCTGTACGTGGCTCTGTAAAAGCTTTATGTGGGCTTATTTCTGCACAAATGCAGGGTGACAGCATCTCTCTAAGGAGGAAACAACTTTGTTTTGTCAAAATAAGAATAAAACAAATCTATTTCAAAATCTCTGACTCTCTCGAGGATTGGTGTCATGCAGTTGCTTAGTTCTCTAGGCATTTGAAAGTGAGTATTTTACTTCTGAAAGCTCAGGCAAAACTCTACAATGAATTAGTTCTTATTTTCACACGTTGTTAGCTCTAACTACAGCAGCATTTCTCTTAACAGTGGTTACCACTTGACTGGACGATGAGTGGCCATTCTGACTTGCAGTAAATAGAGGCAACACCACTTCATCAGCAAGATTAAATGTTTTGAAGTTAAGTCCAACATGTGCCCCGAGGAATTAAGTCCAGGAGTGCAGATGCTGAGTCTGACTTGTGTATTCTGACTTATTCTGGGTGAAGGAAGTGGTGTCCCTCTACTACTCAGTCACTGGAACAATCCATAAGGATTACTGTTGGTTTTCTGTAAATCCAATTGTCCTTAAAAGTGCTGCTGTGAGTTTGGTAGTGCCTGCCAGCTCTGGGGAATGTGCAGAAGCAGAATAGAGGCCCTTCCCTCTCTTTCTAGCTTTTCCAGTTTGTATAGGCAGTGAAATAGATGGCTGGGCAAGCAAGATGCAATACCTTTTTTTCTGTACATTGCTGTCACAGGGCAGTCCTTTGTTACAGGACCCATGGATGAAAGTAAGTAGGATGAGCAAAGCAGCAGTGACACTAAGGGTAGCCTGTGTCCTGCAAAACCGTGCATCAAGTACCATGCAAAAATAAAGGGGCTGGATTTCAGAGTACCATCTTTGTACTCTCCCTTCTGATAGAAAATATGTCTGTCCCTTACCTGCAAGTGTATTGTGGGAAGGAAATAAAGCACCGTTCCCATATCTGACGTAAGACTCACACGGATAAGTAATTTCATGCAAGTATGTTGTAGCCCCATTGACTAACCTTTTGCAAAATCACCCTGATGTTGCTGATGTCCACCTGCCAAAGTTGTATTCTCTGATGGTAGTGGGTCTGATATTGCATATACTGCACATTTTGTACCTTCTTCATATAGAATTTGATGTCTGCACTGTAGATGTGTTTTCTCACAGCAGCATTTTTGTTTTGCCAGTAAGGCAGGAAATGGTTCAGTTTCTCCAGTGAGAAGTATGGCAAATGAAGCTGTTGTCTCTAAAGCAGCATCTAGAGTAGATCTTCTACAGCATAAACACTGAGAAGGTGAGGGAAAAGATTTTTCCAAGCCTTTGCTGGTACAATGTTGCTGATAAGAGTTTCTAGTTTAAACTAAGACTGAAAGGAATAGTTCTGTCCATAACGATTCAATCTGTGTTGGTGTAGTCAAGAACAGAATTGATACAGGTTGGATTTTTATTATTATTACTTTATTATTACTTTATTATTATTATTACTTTATTATTACTTTAACCAAATGCTTTTCTATAGATGGTGAAAGTGCTCCGTGTCTCATACTGCTAATTTCAGGCGGTGGAAGAATAAGAAACGATATGAAACCTCCACAAAGTGTCTGTTTTTTCAAGAACCTGCTTTCTGGTTTCTACTGTTACGGTCAGCTTCACAATTCCCCTCTTCCTTCTGTTGCAAAGAAGATGAGTTGTGTGATGAGGCTGCACAGCCGTGGATTTTGGAGGCCAGACTCTTTGCTGGACACGGCTGGATTCACTCTGTCATCTCACAGTCAGCTTAGGAAGAAGCATCAGGACTCTCGAGCATTGTGGAAGCATGAGGCTGTGCAGAAGTATCTGGACACTCTGAGCAAGGAATACCAGCAGGTTAATAGTCTGCTAAATGCTGATTCAAAAAATGAATTTGAGCAAAGGACCCTGAGGAGAAGACGTGCAGATCTGTCCCCAGTTGCAACTGCATTTCAAGAAATCAAAGAGGCTGAAGGCGAGCTCCGGGAATTAGAAACCATGTGTAGAGGTAAGGAGTGCACATCTGCTTAGTCATTTTGAAAGAGTGGCTTTGCCTGTGATAAACCTCATTGCTCAGCCTTCATGGAGAGCTTTTAAATGAATTAAGCCAGCTCTGGAACGCTCTCTGGTATTGTCTGTTCCTGGGAGCTTGGGTCCCTTTAAGGCTTTCTAGACCCACACATTTCCTTTTATTTTTATGCTATCTCTCTTAATACAGGTCTTAATGCAGCCAACTTGGGAAGGTAGGGGCTGTTTGGACTCTGAGGGCTATGCATCTTGCAGAAATAGTTTGGAAATGTTTGCTTTAGGTTCTTTTTTGGTAGAGCCAAGAGCAGTACAAACTGCAGGATAAACATCAGCAAGTCTTGCCTGTTGAATAGACACTGACTACATTTATGCCACTTAAAATGGGATTCCAACTAGCCAGTTTGATGCTTATTAGGCAAGCTATGTGGACTGCCATAATTAGGTCCTGAATTGGCAGCTTCCAATGTAAATGGCAACATTTAATAGGTCTTGGAGGATATTTGAGAAGTCCTATGGGGAAAGCTGATGGTTATCCAAAAAGCTGCTGCTTTTCAATACTATGTTGCAGTAAAGTTGGGTTAAAAAAAAAAAAAAAAAAAAAGGAAAAAAAAGAGCTTGACCCTCTTTTTGATACTATTCAGGAAGAAGAAAGTAGGTGGGCAGTAAAAGGACTTGTGGTGCAACATTTTGAAAAGATACACTAACACACTGTGAGAAGAGTGAGGCACTGTGTACAGCAGGAAGGAAGAATGTGGGGCATTCTGCTACACCAAAACAGACATTAAGATAAGATACAGTGACCTGGAAAAAATGGGACTTGCAGTAACACAGTTAAGGAAGGGAAAAGCAAAGAAGGGGAGAAATGGATACTTAGCAGTTTAAGAGGAGGAGGATTGAAGTTCCTGGTAATTCTGGGAGAAAGAACCATGGAATGTTGACACATCAGTAAAAGCCATGTTGAAATAAAGCTTGTAGAAACATAGCTGGTAACATTTCCTGCCTGCTTAAGAAAGATAGAAAATACCTGTGTTCCTCAGTTTTGGAAATAAGTGGGTATGTTTGTGCTTTAGAAACAGTGGCTATAGAAAACACTTTACAGAATCACAGAATCACAGAATGGCCAGGGTTGGAAGGGACCTCAAGGATCATGAATATCCAACCCCCCTGCCACATGCAGGGCCACCAACCTCCCCATTTCATACCAGACCAGGCTGCCCAGGGCCCCATCCAACCTGGCCTTGAACACCTCCAGGGTCGGGGCATCCACAACCCCTCTGGTTTCAGTACCTCAGGCAGGGGGATTGAAGATTCATGATCCTTGAGGTCTCTTCCAATCCTGGCCATTACATGATTCTGTAATTCTATGTGAATTGATAAAGGTCAGGGAGGAGGTAGGAATGGGACAGCAGTCATTTGTACCTCAAACTTCTTGCCACCAGCCCATTCTTCCATCTCTGCTGACAATGCCTCATCTGATACTTTCTATTCAACCAATCCATAAGGATGCTTTTCAGACCACCTAGAAGCCTCCTGTTCAGTGCCATCTTTTGGTGGAGCTGTGACATACAGGTAGGGTTACCTATGTAGTTCCTGCATTAAGTACAGAGGATGCCAGGCTCACGTGTTGATCTGCCATATTTTATTTAAAGAAAAACAAAACCAACCGACAAACCAAAATGGAATGTAAATTATAAAGCAGAATATGAAGGAGCTGCCACTATCCTTATCCAGGATACAAGGCTGGTTCAACATCTCAGCCCTCTCCGTTCTTGGGACTTGCTGCTGAGGAGAAAAAAATGAAGGGGTGCTCCCTATTCTGGCGTGTTGGTTTTGACTCCAGCCATCTTTTAACAGTCTGTTTAGTGCACGATCTCGTGCATTGGCATCTTCCATTACTCTAAACTGGAGTCTCTGTAGTAGAAAAGATTTGGAGCTTCTGTTAGCTTTGTTTGAGAATGTTTTGCAGCTCTAAAATGTAGGAGAGCACAACTGAGTCACAGAACTGTAGGACTGATTAGGTTGAAGGAGACTTTTGGAGGTGATTTTGACTGATGTTCTACTCAAAGCAGGACTGCTTAGAGCAGCCCGACTGAGGTCTTGTCCAGTTGAATAGATCCAAGAACAGAGATCCTGCAGCTTCCCCAGGCCCATTTCAGTGTCTGACAACCTTTAGAGTCAAAATAATTTTCCTAATACCTGATCAGAATTCCCCATGCTCCAGCTTCTGTCTTGTTTTATGACAATATACTTTGAAAAGACTTTGTCTTGAACTTTTCAGTATCTTTCTGTGAGTCAGTTGTACACAGCAATAAAAACTCCCCTCAGTCTGCTCTTCTTAAGGCTGAACAAACCCAGTTTCATAGCATCATAGCTTGGGCCTGGGTTGAAAAGGACCTCAAAGATCATCTAGTTTCAATTCCCCTCCCACAGGCAGGGTCACCAACTACTAGACCAGGCTGTCCAGAGCCACATCCAGCCTGGCCTTCAATGCATCCAGGGACGGTTTTCTTGACCTCTCCTATTATTTTATTTGTTTCCATCCTGGACTATCTCTGTGGCTCTTAGCTAGACTCATTCCAGTATCTCCATGCCTTATCTGTACTGGGGAGCTCAAAACTGGACAAAATACCTAGGATGAGCAGATGGGAAGGGAATCTCTTCAAGCAAAGGAAAGAGTTAAAGTGAGGTCTTCCACATCCTGATGGCTGAAGCCATAATACTCATATCTCATTGATTGCTTGATTAGCAGGAGGCAGAAGGTTAGAACCTGTGTAATTGTCATCATACTTACATTTTTAATGCTTGTCCTAATGAGCTGGCTGCAAAGTACTGCACAGATAGCAGTTTCTATGCTAGTCTAGAAATGGAAAGTCTTGTTGCATGTGAAATAGTGGTAAAGAAAACTGAGGCACTCTTTTCTCCAAGCGTGTTTTTGACATATTTTGTTAAATCTCTTGGTGGGTTTGCCTCTGCACTGTCAGTCTCTGTCACATAACTGTGAGTATACTATAATTGGCAGCAAGTAACTGTCAGGTGGGACTGGCATTTGTGTGATGCTGACTTGGAGTCATAGCCAGGAGGCTGGGAAGTAATATATCTCAGCTCCTTCCAGCACCTCTGGAAAATGCAGTCATTTAGTTAGCAATATACATCCTGGCTTCAACTGCTCTTCTTTGATGTTTCTTGCTGGCACAGTGAAACTGCATGCACTGCAAGCTTTTAAATGCTGTAAAGTGTGTCTTTTGACAGCTGTATTAGGATCTGCTGTAAGCTAAGTAAGACTGGCTAACATTTATTCCTATTGTTGGAATTCAGAGCTGGGTAGCAGAGAAGAGAAGCAACTGCTAGAGCTTGCCTTAGAAGAGAAGGAAACCCTCGATAAAAAAATCAACACGCTGTGCAGAAAGGTGAGCCTGAGGTAAAAATACACAGCTTCATAAATAAATGTCAGGAAAATGTTCCTTTGTGATCTTGCCAATAGACTCTGACACTTGCATTTAATGAAACAGAAGGCCAGCTTCTCTATTTTCCCTGAGAAGACATGGCAACATTAATTACTGGTAAGCTTCTTACTGACAAATGCATCTTGGAAGCTGATTATTTTAGGCATTTCTGCTTGCTTGCTTGTCCATCCGGAGATGCTGAAGGGGATGTGAAGCTGTCTGTGCTGTTGAGACCTTGCGTGACATCCAAGTAACTCTTGTGGCAGCAGAGCGTGCATTCTTGAAAAGGTTTCTGATTGGAACCTTCAGTATTTCATTTTCTCTTCAGCTGGCAGCTCCCCACGAGCAGGAACATAAATTATAAGCAGGGAAGCTGAAAAAGTGTGGTAGAAAGCTCTGTGTTTGGGCTCATTTCTGTGTTGAGATTGAGAAAATGGGAAATAGAACCTTCTGAAACGTAAGCTTCGTGTTTGTGTGAAGAGTGGCTGGGCAATAGCTGCTGACTTTGTGCTCCAAGGTAGTTGGGGCTGCAGTGGGTGACCAGGCACCTGACGCTGTGGGATCGAATTTTCAGCTAGCTTTCCTGTGGATGCACCAACGTATCCCATTTCCACACCAACTGCACTGAGCTGCAACAGCCTTTGGACTTGGACAGTTTTTAGTCCTACTTATTCATTTGCCAATAGAAATCCGTGGCTGTGCGTGCTCAAGCCGTGGCATTTGTGAAGGCTGGCTGTAAACTTCATTAAGAGGAGATAGAGTCATGAAAGAGATAGTGACATTCTCTTTTTTTTTTTTTTCTTTCCCCTTCTTTTCTCTTTTCAGCTTTTCCAGCTTCTAGTGCCAAAGGAGAAGTATGATAAAAGTCACGTTATATTAGAAGTGACAGCTGGCAGAACAACTGGAGGTCAGCAAACTCTCCACTAAAGATTACTCCGAACCTTCATCCAACATTTTAAGTCTCTTACGGGTTATTCTTAATGCGTTTTTACACTTCAGTGGCATAAAGCCATACTTCCTTAATCTGTATGATTTATTATCAGCATTAATCTGTTTTATGAGCGCGAACACAGTTGCAGTGAAATCTTCAAACCCGTGGCTGCCGTTTTGCAAACTGCTATTTATGTTGTAGCGCCTTTATATTTATAGGTGACATCTGCCAACAGTTCACTAAAGAAATGTTTGAGATGTACCAGAACTATGCGGGCTATAAATGCTGGACCTTTGACATTCTGAACTACGTGCCAGCTGAGATAGGTACAGTAGTTCTCCAGACGTCCCATCCAGACAACGACATTGAAGGCTGTGTTTGTGGGCTGTGCTTTCCACGCCTTGTTTGTCTCTATAGGTGGGTTGCATCACGCGGCTGCTCACATTTCAGGAGATGATGTCTACAGGCATCTGAAATATGAAGGAGGGACTCACAGAGTCCAGCGAATCCCCGAGACCGGGCTGTCATCGAGAATGCAGCGCATTCATACGGGGACAATGTCAGTTATTGTGCTCCCTCAGCCAGAGGAGGTAACTGTCTGTTCATCTCAGCAACAAGGAAGTGTGTTGCTGGCACTGGAGTGGGTGTTATTTAAAACCACGGTACTGTTAGGGGATTTTATTGAAACCCAAGTGCTTTGAGCAAGTCTCAGCGAGTAAAACCACAGGCTCTGTGGTTCTGGAAGGCAGCAGGACTTGGCTGTGTACCTTACATTTTTAAATGGGTTGTCAGAAGCGACTTCACAAATGTTTGCTACTGCCTGAAAAAGCGAGCGCATCGGTGGTCATTTCAATGAGTGTTCCAGCCCCAGTGCCTGCAAAACTGGAGCGAGCCAGCTTTGAATTAAGTCACATATTAAGACTGGGGGATATATCCGAGAAAATATTCAGTGTTGCCTAGGAAAGTGACTCAGCAAGTCCTTTACTACGTTTTTGTTCATTTAAATTGTCGGTGTTCAATCAAGGACTGTATGCTTTGCATTTGAATGAGCGTGTTGGGTGGTCTTCCTGAGATTTTTCTGATACCACCAGATCTCTCTAAAACTAGCAAGTTATGCAAAGAATAACCAAAACCAGATCTTGTAGACTTTTCCTGCAAATTCTCCTGCTTCCTTGTAGTGCTTTCCTTGCAACACTGGTCAGATCTGAATGTTGCTTTCGTATCCACTGAGCTCAAACTTGGTCCACGTCATCATGGACTCCTATCCTTAGCTGGATCTGGATACACCTAATGTTTCCCCAGGTAGATGTTTTTAACCAGTGTTGCAAAAATCCCTCAGGCTTGACTCATGGAACTCATTCTTTTAGCTTCCCATGCAGACGTACCTGGTTTTCTGAGGGATCTGGAGCAAGAGCAGGTCCAGATGAGGGCCACAAAGATGATCAGAGGGCTGGAGCACCTCCACTATGAGGACAGGCTGAGACAACTGGGGCTGTTCAGCCTGGAGAGGAGAAGGCTCCAAGAAGATCTCATAGTGGCCTTCCAGTACCTGAAGGGGGCCTACAGGAAAGCTGGGGAGGGACTTGTTAGAAGGGCATGTATCAACAGGATGAGGGAAAATGGTTTTAAACTGGAAAAGAGTAGATTTAGACTAGAGAGTAGGAAGAAATTCTTGGCTGTGATGGTGGTGAGACACTGGAACAGGTTGCCCAGAGAGGCTGTGGATTCCCCTCTCTGTAAGCATTCAAGGCCAGGCTGGATGGGGCTGTGAGCAACCTGGTCCAGAGGGAGGTGTCCCTGCCTACAGCAGGGGGTTGGAGCTGGATGATCTTAAAGGTCCCTCCCAACCCAAACCATTCTATGTTTCTATGATAATGATTGTAGCTGATACTCAAGCACAGTTGAAAATTAGTGGGTTTTTAATAAGTGATTTCTTTATCACTGAAAAGGCAGTCAAAATAATTTAGGAAGAGCAGAAAACAGTAGTTTTCTTTGCTTTTAGGTTGATGTTAAAGTGGATCCCAAAGATCTGCGTATAGACACATTCCGGGCCAAAGGAGCAGGAGGGCAACACGTCAACAAAACTGACAGTGCTGTGAGGGTTGTACATCTTCCCACAGGTGAGTCTGGTTGTGGTTGGCAATTCTAAGCACTCTGCATTCTGGAATGAAAGCTTGTGACTCTGTAAGTCTGCAGGGTTGTGCCATCTACCAAGAAGTCAGTAGCCCCTTTTTGTTCTGTCGTCTTCTAACAAAGCAGCATGGGGGAAGAGGAACTTGAGGAGTGGTACGAGGACCAACATGCTGCTGTTATGCTTAATGAACACACTGTCTTTGAAGGATGAAAGAATAAATGGAGGATCATGGGGATGGGGTGGAAAATGTAAATAATTTGTGCTGAAATGGCCATTGTCAGCTAAGGGTGAACTTTGCCTAGCTGCAGCAGGCAGAAAGAGGAGCTTGAAGATTTCCATTTAGTACTAGATAATGCTATCCAAAGTTAAGTAGGAAAGAAAATGTGCTGATAGGAAGTTAACATAGGTACTGAACCACTGTCTTTCTTAGGATTTGCTTGTACTGAAGTTCAGTGGGCCTGTATCTGTCCAACCTGAAAAAAAGCCTTTGGGCTTTTCATTTTGGAAATCAGACAGGAAGTAAAAAAACAAAAAATCAGACCTTTTAATCTTATTTCATTATTTATAATTCAGCTTAAGGCTCTCTAGTATGGCTCTGATGCTCTCCTCTTCTAAAATAAGGAACTTTCCAGTTTCCAAGAGCTCGTGTAGACGAAGACATTCAAAACCCACAATACATTTTTTTAAGCATGCTCTTGTAGATTCAGCAACTTCACTTTTGCAACGTGTGACAGCTACCTGGAGTAAACCTGTCCTCTGGAGGCAGTGTTTAGAGAATGATAATTCCAATGAGAACTGTTTGCTTTATGGAATCTCACAGTACCCCTAGCTTTTCTGTAGCACCAAACAAATCTCCTGGTGCAGCTGTGAGGAGTTTAAAAACATGCTAATGGCTTGAGACATTGTGTTAAAATGACTTTTTATCCTGCAGCTGAAAGGCCCTAAAAATGAGCACTCCTAGAAGGTGTCATTTGCCTAATGTGATTGAATTAATTTAGCTTGTTTGTTCTGTGTTTGAATGGGCTTTTTGCTCTGCTCTATCTGATATTCTACTGTGAAGGGGTGGTGGTTGAGTGCCAGCAGGAGAGATCGCAGCAGAAGAACAAGGAAATAGCTCTGAGGATGCTGAGAGCTAAGCTGTACCAGCAGATCATTGAAAAACAACTGAGTCAAGAGCAGAGCGCCAGGAAACTGCAGGTGAGAAGGGATGACTGATGACCTTGGGAAGGGTGCTTTGTTGTAGGGGTGTTTCTCCGAGTGTCTGTGTCTGACAAGTTGTGCTTACGAAGGAGAATCCTGGGTGTCAAGATGCTAACTCTGCTTTGAAACTGCACATCCGTTGTTTGCTTATCCCAGTTCAGCCCTAGCGTAGAATTTTCAGGTAATGAAAGAGCCACAGACTGTGGGTGGAAAGAAGAGAATCATAAGAATGTAGCTGCAATGACCCAAAAAGCAGTACTCGGCACCCGACGTTGTGCTACACAGCTAGAGCAGCAGCCAAAATTCAGATCAGAAGTTCTTGGGGTTGTATTTTAGGCCTTTTCTAAAGCACGGTGTTTGACAAGCTGGTGTAGCTTCTGGGAGAAACAAGTACACAGAGGAGCCTGCCATTTCACAGCTCTGTTTGCTGTGGGTTAAGTAACCTCTGAAAGAAGAAACTTCAAATCCGAGTTGCCTCAAGTTGTGCTGCAGGCTGTACTTTCCTCTTAAGTGTGCCAACATTCTTTTCCCATTCTTTGAGTATTTTGCTGTTTGCAGTGCAAACTTCAATAGCGACCAACAAGAATAAAATACTTGGCAAGACCAGAATTCTTCAGCGTTCCTCCGCTTCCAGCTTAGCCATTTAATTGCTCACTTCAGGCTGTGTGTCAGTGTGTTGTTCCTGCAGATTATTAACTCTGTCTCTGTAATCGGTGAGCCATTTATCTGCTGTTAATCATTTTTGCTCGAGAGTTCTCAAGGCTGCATTAAAGGACTTGAGATTTACATTTATGTTAATGCTGTAGAAAATCAGGCTACAGTGAATTAGCTTTTATAGTGATTCAGAATATATAAAATCCCTTTGTTTTCTTGAAACACAAATGTGAGTGCAGGTGGAATTTAAAAGAAAAAAGCAGCTCGTACAAGTAGACACTCATTTCTCTAAGTAGTTTTCAGCGTGTAGTTCTCCTTTTTAATACAATGCTTAACCGTGCAACCAAGCTACACTTGGAGTTGAGCATGAAGTCTTCGAACTGATTGCACTGCTTTACTTCACCACCAGAGGACTCCTCTGTGTCCGCTCGATTTACTCTCCGCTCGTTTCTGACGGCCTGATGTTAGCAAACCCCTTTGCCACCCTCTGTGAAGCAGACATCGGTTGTGCTGCTACTGTTATGAATGGCTCCCACTCACTGCCTTTTGTGGGAATGCCTTCTGCCTTCCATGGCTTTTGAGACTGACGTAATTCTTGTTCTATTCCTGTGGTGCTCTTCTACAGTTGGGAACAAGAGCCCAGTCAGAGAGAATTCGTACTTACAACTTCACCCAGGACAGAGTCACTGACCACAGGATCTCGTATGATGCACGCAATATCAAGGTAATGGTTGCTTAGGGGGGTTTTAAGACTTGGATACTTAACTGTGCCACGTAAAGCAAACTGCAAGCTTGTGAAAAGAATTTAAAATATATGGGGAAATCACATGGCTATTCACATCCTAATAGAACACGACTAATTCAAGAAGCCTACGCTTCTCTGCCTTTCTTCAGGAAATAAGGAGCTGACCTAGGGCTCTGTGTATTTCTCTCTAGCTGTACGAATGAACGATGCTCAATATGTAGTCCTCCTTAGTGAGCTCTGTGAGAACTCCTGGAGTGGTCCCCACTGCAGAATGGTACTGAAGTATCCTCTGTAATGCTTTGGTCTGCTGTTATTTTCCCATAGGAAATTCTGAGTGGGAAAGAGGAACTGGATAAGCTAATAAACAGGCTGCTGGAGTTTGCGGAGATGGAGGCTCTCACAGAGTATCTAGAAAACCTTCAGTCCATGGGAGGAGAAGGATGCTGAAGATCTTGTGTGGAGCTAAAGCAGAACTGGGTTTGTAACTAAATAAAATGGGCACACTTATTGGATGACAGATTGATTAAAATCTATGCCTCTGTTTTTCAATATGTGCTACTGCTCTTTTCATGCCTTGGCACAAATGAATTTTATGGGTTGAATTTACTACATCTCCCCCAGCAGAAAAGAAGAGTCACTGATTACTGTGTGCACATACCTTCTGTCTTGGCAGCAGGGCTTTTTGAAGCCAGTTCTTCTCTCGACCATATTGCAACTGGACACATGTAGAATTGTGGTGATGGAGAAGAAGAATTACCACATACTGCACATTTTGCTCTGGAGGTAGGAGATGTCCATCCCAGGCTGGATGTGGCTCTGGGCAGCCTGGTCTGCTGGTTGGTGACCCTGCACATAGCAGGCGGGTTGAAACCAGATGATCACTGTGGTCCTTTTCAACCCAGGCCATTCTGTGATTCTGTGGTTCTGTGATTTCTGTGATCCAGGTGAAAGAACCTAAGCTCCCCTTACATAGCTTAGAATCTGACTTTGTCAATAGCACTTATTTGTATCATTTTTATCTACCAGTTGAGGTGGATAAACTCATGCAATGAGCCTGCAGGGGGCTGCAAACTCTGTGTAGGTGCCTTGCACCTTTTTTTGGCCTCGGTCCATTCCTCACTTCCAAGGAAGTGTGAGTAGGCTCTGTCCCACAGGAAAATTCCTCTCCAGAGATGATCCTCCTGTCTGTAGCCAAGGCAGTAGCTTTGCTGTAGAACTTCCTAAATGGAGTCCTTTCAAAAATCACTCCATGTTAGGATGCTTTATTTTGTTCCAGGACACGTACAAAGTCAAAGCTACTTTGACAAGGGGCAGCTGTGCCCATCAGTGCTCTTGCAGGCATTCTTGGGTCAGCTGAGGGTGGGTGTGGAGCACGTGCTGTGCTGGGTGCAAAAGTGCTTGCTGGAGAATCAGATGAAGGTGACAACACTTTGGAAGGAGTTCGATGATGACAGCGGGCAGCTTTCTGCTTGTTGACAGAAAGTGAGTTCACACCGTCGATGTATTTTAGTAGATAAGGTGCACCTGGAATTCAGCTTCTGCACTGATGTCTTTGGGAATGTGTGCCTGGCTCTGAGGGCAAACCAGGCATCTGTAGAGAGCTCAGCTTTAGCAGGGCCTGCGTTCATGTTTTCCCCTCAGCACGCATCGTGCAATGTGCTCAACACGCACTGGTGCGTAGGCAGGCAGCAGGCAGAAGCAGACGTGCTCACTTCTTACACAGCACCCAAAATTACACAAGTGTGGCACTGAACCAGGCTGGCTGCTCAATCAATGCATCCCTTTCTTTATCCTGCTCTTCCCAAAGTGTGCTTTTCAATGGCTCTGCACTGTGTTTTGGATGTGAAGAGTCCATTCATTGTTACGACTTAAATTACACTTAAGCCAACCACAATATCTGCACGTCCACTTTGTAATCAAGAATGATACAAGAACTGAGAAAATATCAATTATTTCAAGAAAAAAACAATATTTCAATACTGAATCTTCTGGATTTTATAGTATATATAGTACAGTATATATATAGTATATATAATAACAGTTTTAAATTTAGATAGAATCAGAATTAATTTTTCAATTTGTGTGTTTCTGCACAGTCTTCAAGTTTTGTTTGCAAATTCTTGACATGCTTTCAACGCTTTGAATTACAAAATCTTTGGTTTTTTTCATTTGTAGCTCTATAAATCAAGAGTGAGCTCATTATCGTGTGACTTAAGAGTTGTTGGCGCGTCGACTGCCTGCAGGTACATCACACCTCAGCTCTCAGTTCTGCAGTACTGTCAAACCAGTGATAACACACGCAATGAGTGAGTTGGGGCTGGGGCTGCAAACTCTGTGTACGTGCCTTGCACCTTTCTTTGGCTTCAGTCCACTCCTCACTTCCAAGGAAGTTTAAGTAGGCTCCGTCCCACAGGAAAATTCCTGTCCAGAGATGATCCTCCTGTCTGCAGCCAAGGATGTAGCTTTGCTGCAGTTTTATTCTTTTTCAAGGTAAGATTCTTCAGGCAAGGAGTTAAGTTTTGTGCCTTTTTTATCTTGGGTGCTAGCATAGTATAAATAAATGACTTCTTGGGAGACAGGTAAACTCCATTCATACAAATAAGCCTGTTTCACTGGAACAGGCTGCCCAGGGAGGTGGTGGAGTCTCCTCTGGAGATGTTCAAGACCTGCCTGGATGCCAACCTGTGTGACCTGCTGTAGGGAACCTGCTTTGGCAGGGGGTTGGACTCGATGATCTCTGGAGGTTCCTTCCAACCCCTACAGTTCTGTGATTCTGTGAAATAAGCTGGAGAACTGTTTTCTTTTACTTCTCGAGGTAAAAGAATTTGGCTTTTCTAATATAGGTTTCACTTGGACACCTATAAAACTTCCTTACCTTTAATGCAGTGGTTGTCAAAACGTCAAGGAGAAAGAAGTTTTCAAATGAAAAAGATTGTATTTGCCGCCTACCCGACCCCTGGAACTCTATGTCTCTCAGCTGTTGTTTCCAAGACCTAGCTACAGCTGTGTGCAGGTACCTGAGACCTCTAGCACTGGCTACACAAATAGCATCATCTTCTTGCTCTGGCCACAAAACCCAGCTTGTTTCACACGACAGAAGATGGATCAGAACTCACATACAGAGTGCCTCTGCTGCCAGGGCCGGGATGCCCAATGGGTCAACCAGAAATGCTTCTTGTGATGCGAGGTCGTCCTCGTGGGCTGTGGCTTGGTACAACCTGCACTTCATCACTCAGATCCTGGTACCTGTGCTACCTATTGAAGGTTTTCCTCTCGGTGTTAGAATGACCATGATTCCTTTTGTAGCCAAGAGTTGTCTCTGATTCAGCTGAAAGGCAGGGCTAGTGGAACGTGATGCTGTCTACATAGGCACAGGTGTACTTACAGTGCTCTGCTGAATTATGCATACGTGTTATCTGTATTATTTTGAATAAACAAAACTATAATGAAATACTCATAGAATCACAAAACGGCTTGGATTCAAAGGAACCTCAAAGCCCAGCCAGCTTCAACCCTGTGGCCAGTGCCACCCATCAGATCCTGCTGCCCAGAGCCCCATCCAACCAACCTGGCTTTGAGTGCCTGAAGGGACGGAGAAAAAGAAAAGTGTAAGGTGTTGTGATGGAGGAAAGACGGATTCTTATCTTCTATACATAAATAGACCAGCACTGCTACCTTGTTCTGATGACTTTCAGTGAATCATCAGCAGAATGCAGAAGGGAAAGTAGCAGAGATCCTGGCCCTGCAGACGGGTGTATTCCCATGATGCAGTGAGCTGCTCACTATCATTGAGCCCCATTCCCAGATGCCCCATCCCTGCAGGCATTCAAGGCCAGGCTGGATGTGGCTCTGGGCAGCCTGGTCTGCTGGTTGGCGACCCTGCACATAGCAGGGGGTTGGAACCAGATGATCACTGTGGGCCTTTTCAACCCAGACCATTCTGTGATTCTATGATTTACTTAAAAGGAGAGACGTTGCTAGCTATAAAACTGAATATTTCATATTCTGGTAGCCCTATGTCACCCAATTTCATGCTAGCTGCTTAGTGTTGCTGCATAGTTATTTTTAACTTTATGTAAAAAAATAATAATAATAATAAGCTGCCAAATGATCATATTGACAGGAAGATTTTTTATCAGGAAAGGCATTATTGAATAATCTGCACACATTGCCACCTCTCTGAAGTGCACATCTTTAACTCTCTGTTGCTTCTCATTCTTGAGACCAACAGCTGCAAAGGCTGCTGAGTAACCGTGTGTTACCATCAAGAAATTTATATACTTAGATACAGTCTGAATGAATAAATCCATTGCCAGCAACTGCACAGTGCACTGCTGGGAAGCACTGCAGTGCTGACCACAGACTAAACAGCATTTTTTTTAATGAGCACCTCCCTATTTACACCTCCAGTTTATATTCCCATTTTGAACAGAACATGCACCCATAAATCATACAGTCATAGAATCACCAAAGTTGGAAGAGACCTCCAAACCCGTTGAGTCCAACCATCTACCTACCACCAGTGTTTCCCCACTAAACTACGTCCCTTAGTACAACATCTAGGACCAAGCACTGACCAACACCCCCAGGTTCATTTCTTCCAGTCCTCCAGCCACTGCCCCAAGCCTGTAGCGTCGCCTGGGGTTGTTGTAGCCTAAGTGCAGGACCTGGCACTTGGTCTTGTTGAACTCCATCCCATTGGCCCCAGCCCAGCAACCCAGCCTGTCCAGATCCCTCTGTAGAGCCTTCCTGCCCCCAGGCAGATCTACAGTTCCTCCCAGCCTGGTGTCATCTGCAAGCTTACTGAGGGTGCACCCACTGCCTTCGTCCAGGTCGTCAATGAGATACAGGACAGGCCCCAGTACTGCAAATGACCAGTAAATGTTAGATTATCTAAAACACCTTGAATATGTGAGCAACAGCAATACAGATCATTTCAGTAAAAGCTTTATTTGGTATTTCTGTATAAATTCCACTTCAAAGGCTTGCAGTATTTTGTCATTCCAACAGAGAATTCTTACAGAGAACAACTGCTCAGCTTTACAGATAACACAAAAGAAAATGAGGGCTTCGAACGACTCCATGTTTCACACCACTCCTGTAAAACAAATGATGAAAACCCCAAACAAAATCCCAAAGCTTGGTTGGTTGGTCACAGCAGTGACTCTCGTGGTTCATAGGACAAACAGCAGGTAGAAGGTGAGACAATCTGACAGGTGGTTCCAACAGAGACGGCACAGAGGTACCTGGCAGGCCATGAGCAAAGGGCTGCAGCAGCAACGGAAGGGATACAGACAGCTTGGAACCTAAAAGCTCAAGGATGGAAGGTATGCAAGCCCTGTATGAGGAGTGGAATGAATTCTGTCTCAGGAAAACAAATTCTTGAGAAAATCCAAGAGCTGGGCACAGGAGGAGGCGTTCACTGGCACTGCGGCACAGCGATGACACAGAGATTTGCATATATTGGAATACTGGAGGAAGACAGTTTGAGGAAGACACCAATAATTTAGAAAAGTGCTGAAAAGGGGTGGCACGACTTGGGAAAAAAA